TATATCTAATTCCTAACATTTCTCTGAGTTCTTGAAATCTTGTTCGTGGTGTTGGCTTGGTCAAGATGTCAGCTAACTGCTCTTTGCTGCTCACATACTCCAGTGAAAACATCCCTTCATTGAACTTCTCACGAATATAATGATAACGAACATCTATATGTTTAGTTTATGGAATTTTGGATTCTTCACCAATTTTATGGCACTTTGATTGTCCGCGTACAAAACAGGTGTCTCTCCCTGTGTTTCCAGAAGATCACTTGTTAGTAGCGTCAACCAAGTTAATTCCTGGACTGCTTGACTCAGTGCCATGTATTCAGCCTCAGTAGTTGAGAGTGCTACTGATTTTTGCCTTTGTGAACACCATGCTACTATTCCATTAGTCATCATGAAAACGTATCCTGATGTTGATCGCCTAGTTGTTGTATCATCAGGATAGTCTGCATCACTATAACCATGTAACTTAAGTTTCACCCTAGAATGAAAAAATAAACCATAGTTATAGGTTCCTTTTAAATATTTTAAAATACGTTTCACCGCATTCCAATGTATTATCAGAGGCTTTTCTAAATAGCGACTGACAAGATTTACAGCAAATGTTATATCAGGCCTTGTGATCTGACTTAGATATAACAAACTTCCTACTGCTTCTCTGTATGGAACTTCCCCTGCTTGTAATGATTCAGATAAATTTGCATCTAATGAGTGTTGTGGATCTGCAGGAATGCATAGGACATTGGATTCATCCATATTGAATCTCTCCAAAATGCGTTGACAGTATAATGACTGATGTATAAATATTGACCCATCTGATCTCTGATCAATTTCAATTCCCAGAAAATGATTAAGTTCACCTGATTTTGTCTCAAAGTTGCTCATCAGGTACTTCACCATCATGTCCACCTGCTCATCATTTGTTGCTGCTATAATCCCATCATCTACAAAAATAGCTACAATCATTAATTGTTCATTTTTATTACTTACAAATACACAGGGATCTGCCTTTGTTTCTTTTAGATCAAATTTTAACAACAAATTTTTAAATTTTGTATTCCAGCACCTGGGTGCTTGTTTTAATCCATACAAGCTTCGTTGAAGTTTGCAAACTTGTTTAGTTCCATCTTCATAACCTTTTGGCTGGTTCATGTAAATCTCTTCTTCAAGATCACCATATAAAAAGGCTGTTTTAATATCAAATTGTCTGAGTTTTAATTTTCTGGCTGCTGCTATTGCTAGCAGTACTCGTATAGAGTCATACTTTACAACTGGACTAAAAGTTTCTTGAAAATCAATTCCATGCACTTGTGCATAGCCTTTTATAACTAGTCTGGCTTTAAATCTATCGACTTCTCCATTTTTCTTGAGTTTGGTTCGATATACCCAGCCATTGTTAAGTACTTTTTTATTTGTTGGTATATTTACTAATTTCCAGGTTTCATTCTTTTTTAATGANTAGGTTTCATTATTTTTTAATGACAACATTTCTTCATCCATTGCTTCTTTCCAATCTTCTGAATTTTCTTGTGTCATAGCTTCTTCATATGTAACTGGATTATCACACATTGAATAAAATGTTTCTGTTCTATACCTTACTGGTTTTTCTATATTTTGTCTATCTCTAAGTCTCATTTTTAATTGCTCATGAGTCTGATCTGCTGATTGATCAAGTTCATCCATATTTTGTTTTCTTTCAACATTATTCTCATCATTAATGTTATTTTCTTCACTTTCATCCACCATTTCTGAATTTATTTCTTCATCTTCTTTTCTAATTTTGATTTCTATTTCCATAGATTCTTTGAATATAACATCTCTGCTTAATGAAACTTCTTTTCCATCAAAGCATATGCGGTATCCTTTAGTTTCTTCTGAATACCCAACAAATATTCCTTTTCTCCCTTTTTGATCCCATTTTCTACGTTTTTCTTTTGGTATATGAACATAAACTTCACTACCAAATACTTTAAAATTGCTTATATTGGGACTTTTATTATACCATAATTCATAGGGCGTTTTTTCTTTGTTATCTGAATTTAACGTACGATTCAATACATATACAGCTGTATTTACCGCTTCAGCCCAAAGATTTTTTGACAAATTTTACTGTATAACATAGTTTTAGCTGCTTCTACTATTATACGCATTGTTCGTTCCGCTTTACCATTTTGCTGTGGTGTATATGGTACACTGGTCTCATGTTTTATACCAAATTTATTCAAAATAGCTTTGACTTCATCATTCTTATATTCCAAACCACAATCACTTCGTAAAGTAAGAACTGATATATTTAACTGATTTTTCACTGTATTTAAGAATAATTCAAACTTCTCTTTTACTTCTGATTTTTGTTTCATAAAATATACATATGTATACTTAGAGTAATCATCTTTGAATATAACAAAGTATCTTTTACCACCAAGAGAATTTTCTTCCATGGGTCCACAAACATCACTGTGAATTATCTGACCTGGTTTTGTTGTTTTGGTACTGCTCAGTGTAAATGGTTCTCTGTGTTGTTTACCATAAATGCAAGCTTCACAGAAAAATTTGTTTTCCATATCTGTGAATTGAATACCCATATGCCTTAGGTAATTTCTAACATATTGAACATTCTGATGACCTAGTTTTTCATGCCACTGTTGTAATGTAAGAATTTTTTCAGCAATATTCACTTGATCTATCTCTTGCGAAATCCTTGTTTTAAAAATCATCGAAAACAATTTATTCTCACGAATTCCAACAGCAACTGTACTATTTCCTCTTTTAAATGTACAAACATTTTTGTCTGTTATCATTATTATACCTTTATCAAGGCACGCTCCACATGAAAACAAATTTACTTTGAGTTCAGGTACATGTAAAACATTTGACAAATAACTGTCAACCCATTTTTCGCCAATTTTTGCTTGAACATATATATTACCTTTACCAATAGCCATAATATATTTACCATCACCAATACGTACTGGCAACTGAATCTTGAACGACTCATAAGTTCTGAACCACTCTCTTCTAATGGTCATGTGATCACTTGCACCGGAGTCCACATACCATTTATCAAAATCACTAATTTTGTTCACCATTGAATTAACGCCTATTAGTGCATTACCAGAATTCGATTCGTTTTTATTCCTTTCGTCTTGTTCTTTCTTCAAAATCCAGCAATCACGTTTCCAATGACCTGGTTTCTTACAAAAATTGCAAATTCCTGGTTTTCTATCATTATTTTGTTGATTTCCAAATTTTGAATATTTTTGTTTTTGCGTTCTAAACAATTTTTTCGCCGCAAATGCACTATTTTCACCATTATTTTTCTGGATTTCATGGCCATTACTTTGTCTTGTTTCCTCTACCATAAGTCGGGATGTCAAGTTTAACAATGTTTTGTTCTCAGATGATATAGAATCCCATGCACTATAAAAATATTTATAATTTTCTGGCAAGGTCATAAGAATTTTGGTTATAAGCATTGAATCGGATATTGGTTCACCTAACTGTTTTAATTGTTTACTCAAGTTTTCTAATTTTGATATATGTTGTGCCATATTATCATTTTTATCCATAACATAANATATATTATTATTTTTATCCATAACATAACTATAAAATTTTTGCTGAATTAATGTAATTGATGTATCAGACTTTTGTTCATATACACTCAGTAATTTATTCCACATACCTTTCGCTGTGTCACAGTTCATTATGTAATCTAATGACTGCTCATTTACTGACATAACTATAAACGTTGAGCCTTAGCATCTGTCATTAACCATTTTTGCTGCACTTGTTCTAAACGCAATTGTGCCTCTGTGTCTGTTTCTGTATCATGTTTTATAATTTGAATTGGATATTCATAACTTCCATCTATTACAGNAGATATTCATAACTTCCATTTATTACAGAGAACAACACATCATATGATTTTAATATTACCGTCATTTGAAATTTCCATTTTGCCCAATTTTCACTGCCGTTTAGTTTGTTAATTTTTATAGATTCGTTTTCCATGATAACGAATTTCCTGTACACTGTCTGNTATGATAACAAATTTTCTGTACACTGTCTGCACACAATAAAAAATTACAATAATATTTAACACGATCGACGCACTTACTACGCGAACGCACTTTAAAATTCACGATTAATTATATTACTAAAAAAACATCTAAATATTGAGTANTCTAAAAAAAATCTAAATATTAAGTACTGAGTACTGGGCCCATATTCCCTATAGTACCTATTCCCTGTTGAATGGAATAGGTTATGTAATTAAAAGATTTAGAAATTATTCGTAATATAATAGTATTTAATATAAAATGTCAAAACATATAATATAAGAGATGTACAACGGCAACGGGTCACTTTACTCGATAGACGGTGAAACTACGACTAAACTGAAAACATGTATACAATAGGCTGCATTGAGTAAAACAACATAATCGTAAAAGGAATGTGTCCCTTTGACCTTGNTCGTAAAAGGAATGTGCCCCTTTGACCTTGTACTATACTAACATAAGTAAAAATACATTAAACTGTTATCTTAAATAATATTATTGTACCCAGTGTGTTGTTTAATAATATCAACAAGTACATTAAATAGTCAAGTCAAAATCTTAAATTAGTGTTGAAATCATTCACTAGAGTTCTAATACTTCTTGGAGGTGGGTGGTAAAACTTTATCCAGTTGAATCTCAAAATTGTTTTACTTATTGACAATATGTCATGTAAAACTACCTATAATTATTAAAATCCATTGTCGATCAGTCGCTAATATTTAATTTTTTGTTTGCAAATTTTGTCTATACTCAGATTTGTAATCCCTCAACTTAAACTTATTTTGTCTTCTCAGAAACTATCTAGTTTCTCAAATTAAACATTCACACTAAACCTCACAAAATTGAATATTAGTTATTGATCTCATTTTAGTTCCTTATATGACATACTCCATTGATAAATTGTTCTTATTAGTTTTCTTTTTTTTTGTACATGTAGATTAGAATTAGCTTACACCTTAAAATCAAATGAGTATTAATTCTTTGAGTTAACAATTCATTAATTTTGAAACATTATATTAAAAATTTTAGTTGTAATACACACATTTAAGCATGTTAGGTATATTTAATATATTGTCACATTTACTTATACATGTTACTTGAGAACTCAATATTAGATTGTAAGTTGTTACTAGTTTTATAAGTCTATTTAATCTACTTGATTTTTGATTGTATGATTGGTCTGAAACAATAGTTTGGTAATCATTTTGTAAATGCATGTTGTTTTCTAGTGAACAAAATCAACCATTTCACTTGTAATCATAAAGTAACTTTGTTGTCATAAATGTAGATATTTACCTAGTTGTTGTCAATAAGAAAAATTATTTACTTGTAAGCATAGAAATAAAAATCATATCTTTAGTTAACTTTCTTTCTAGCTGTTGTCATTTAAATTTACCCTCTATACAGTCCACTAAGAACATACAAAATAAATTTGGTAATTGCATCAGTGCCACATATTGGTTCTACTTGTAAGAGTGATACAACTGTTCACTCAGCATTGACTTCGCTCAAACAATTAAACTTAAATATTAGATTAGTCTGTTGGTTAATGTAGTGCGCCTACAATTATAAACCAACAGGTTCAACTTGGTCAGGCTCACGACTACCTATTTTAAACCACCCTTGTTTATATATCAGTGATTTTAATAATCACCACCAGGATTGGAGATATGAACAAAAATGCGAATGGAGATTTTCTTCACGATTGGATCACGAATAATAATCTATCATTATTGTTCGATGCTAAGGATAGGGGTACTTTTGTTTCAGCTAGATGGAGAAAAAAATACTCATCAAACTTAAGTATTATCTCAACAGACACCGCCAAATTTTTCCTTAAAACAACAAGATCAGTACTCAATAACTTTCCACACAACCAACATCGTCCTGTGATAGTTGACTGGGGCTTAAAAATCCCAATCATTCATACAATACAAAAATCCCGATGGAATTTCAAAAAAGCAAATTGGGAAAAATTTTCCAAAGAACTAGATTTTATTATAAAATGGATCCCTCCTTATATTGGAGCTTTTGAACGTTTCACAAACGCTATTATAGCCGTCGCAAAGAAGAACATTTCCAGAGGTTTCAGGAAAGATTATATACCCGGCTGGTCAGAGTACTATGAGGAAATCTTCGAAGAATTAAATAATAAGGGTGATCCCCTTATTGGAGAAAGAACTATTAAACGCCCTAAATGAAAACAGAAGAGAGACTTGCAGAACAAAAACTGAAAAATTGGACTTTACCCACTCTAGCCGTAAAGCATTGAGTCTTATTCGTAGACTAGATAGTGGGAAAACTCCAATTCCAAAAAATAACTCCTTTTCACCCAATAAGGTAGCCAGTCACTTGGTAAGCATATCGACTTTCGCCCGGGAAGATCGTGTTGCGAACAAGTTAAAGCACTTACCACCTTCATTAAATCAGGATTTCAAAAGAAAATTAAAACCGCTGCGGTCTTTATAGACCTTACAGCAGCATATGGATACAGTATGGCGAGAAGGACTGCTGCTTAAATTTAGTAAAATTATTCCTTGCTCAAAGTTAAACAAGTTACTAAATAATTTCTTAGTAAATAGAAGAATCCAGGTACACATTAATGATTCACAAAGTAGCTGGAGAAACCTAAATAACGGACTACCTCAAGGTTCCATTTTAGAACCGATTTTGTTTAATGTGTACATAAATGATATGCCAGAGAATCTCTCATCTCGTAGATTCCAATATACAGATTATGACCCAGCTTTAGCAGTACAGAGTATTGACTTTAAAACATGTGAAGATAAAATAAATAAAGATTTGGCCACGCTCTTAGAATATTATAAAAAGTGGAAACTGAAGCCCAATCCATCAAAAACGGAATCGGTAATGTTTCACTTGAATAACAAATTGGCTAATCAGAAGCTCAACATCAACTTCGACGGATTTCAAGTTCAACACAACATGGCTCCTAAATATCTAAGGGTTAATTTGGGTTAATTAACGTACAGAGGTCACCTAGAAAGAATAGCTCAGAAACTATCGACCCGAAATAATATCATAAATAAGCTAGCTGGTTCTGGATGGGGAGCAAACGCCAACTCTCTCAGAAGGGGAACTCTTGCGTTGGTTTATTCCACAGCTGAATACTGCTATCCTGTTTGGCTAAATAGCAGCCATGTTTCAAAAATAGACGTACTGCTCAATCGGTCAATGAGAATTATCTCTGGGACACTAAAATCAACTCTTCTACCTTGGCTACCAGTCTTAACAAATATTCCTCCTCCAGATATCAGGCGAGAAGACTTCCTAAGGAGAGAATGGGAGAAGTACACTAAAACTGCTTCCATACCGCTATATGATGATATAAAAAATCTACCACCGTTGAGATTGAAATCACGAAATCCTGGCTGGCCGGATAATTCCGGTACATACCTTACCATCAAAGATCAACGGAAAAAAGAATGGAGTACAAAAAAGCCTTATAATTACGAACTTGTTGAAGATCCGGATCTTAAGCTTTCAGGATTTAACCTTCCAAGGAGAAAGTGGTCGAGACTAAACCGCTTTCACTGCGGGCAAGGAAGATCAAACCATCTGATGAAGAAATGGAAACTGACAGATTCAGAATTATGTGAAGCTGATGGAACGATCCAGACTATGAAACACCTTGTAGAAGAGTGCCCGACATATCATTTTCCAGGAGGTATGAAGAGTTTGCACGTATTGGAAGGGGACGCCGTCCGCTGGCTGTCCGAATTGGAAAAATAAGTGTGAAATCGTTTTGATTACTATATTTATCTTGTTATTTTTATTGCTTTCCATAATAATTCATATTTTATAATTGTTATCACCTATATCTAAAGTTTATATGTCTGTTAAATATTTTTGTTTCTGTTTGGATTACCATACGAATATATATAATGTACCTAAAGATATTCAAACTCTAATGAAAACTCCTAAAATGTACATAATTTCAAAATGTAGATTAAAGGTCTTATATTCATTTAGGCTTAAAAAACATGATATCTCTTTTATTAAAAAAATATAATAATTTAATCTATACCCCAAATATTGTTTTAATGGTATTAATTCGGATGGTCTACCATTATCAATAAGTTCAAAGGGTCAACTTTGGCCAATCTTAATTGCATTTACAAATTGTAACTTATTATCAGAATATGTACTTCCAATTGGAGTATTCTATGGAAATACCACACCAAAGTAAATTGATAAATTTTTAAATCCATTTATTACAGATCTTTCAGTATTATTAAATAATGGCTTAAATATTAATGGAAATTTGTAATTGTCATGTAATTTGTGATTCTCCAACTAAAAGCTTTATACTTAATGTAAAATCATATAATGCATATTTTGGATGTACCTCGTGTACTCAGGAAGGTTCATTCATAAATAATAGAATGTCATTTTTAAAAATAGAATCGCCTCTTCGAACCAATGAATCATTTCGTTCTAAAACACAGGAAGAATATCATGGTCTTGGACATTTCGCCGCTGACCGTTTCGCCCCCAGACTCTTGATATATAAATTTATTATTAACCCCTTTTCAAAAAAGTATAATTATATTAGCCTAATCCTTTATTTTACAAGTCCTTAAAATCCAGTATAATGATAAAAATTTTTTTATTTATACAATGTCACAAATTATTTAAATTTGATTTTTACTTAAAATAGTAAAAATTAAATTATAATTTAATTATTATAGATACATAGAAATTCGGTGTTTTAACAATAAGGGCATTGAAGCTAAAATGTTAAGTTTATAGTTATTCCATTTATTCTGACACCGTAAATACAGACTATTTGATATGAACATAAGAAAATGTGAGCCCAAAAAAAATTAAATGTATTCGTGAATATTAGAATTGTTATTGTAATATAAATACTATATATGCCAATCTATAATATTAGAAATATTTTGATTATATCAGACGAAGTGTTATTATAAAATATTTCAAACACAAAATCAAATAATTACTGGTAAATTGAAAAAACGAAAAGAAATTTGAATACATTTTGTTATTAATGCTCAACAGATAATTCATCATTTATTAAATGAAAAGTCGTATACAACACAATTGAGTTTTAAATTAAATAGTATAATCACAAATGAATGATATGATATTTTAAATACTTCACAAGAGTGCTTGTCACACTTAGAATATTTAAGTATAACTTTAATAAATAGTAAACTTTTTAGAATATTTAACTTGAAGTCAAAATTTCATAAGATGGGCTTAACTTTTTATTTTATCATTTTTAGTGATCTGAACTTTGGTTAAAATTGCTTTATTTGTTTGAATATTTTTTTTCTAAAGTATTTATAATTTGTTTTTTTTTTAATATTTCATTGTATATTTGAAAAATGAAATTATTAATTTTATACATGAAAACCTTATAAAATGTGTAATTATTTATTTATTTATTATAAATTATACAAGCAATAGCCCAAAAAATATAATATGTATTAAACAGTTAACTGGACAACTTAAAATTATCTAATAACTAAAAATGAAACATTAATAAACTT